CTCTCTCTCTCTCTCTCTCTCTCTCTCACACACACACACACACACACACACACACACATACACTCTCTCTCTCGCTCTCTCTTACACACACACAGTCACACACACACACACTCACACACACACTCTCTCTCTCTCTCACACACACACACACACACATACACTCTCTCACACACACACTCTCTCTCTCTCACACACACACTCACACAACACACACACACACACACGCACACACATGCACTCTCTCTCTCACACACACACACACACACACACACACACAACACACACACACGTGCAGGCGATAATCGTTCAGTCTCTCTCTCTGCAGACCAGGACGAGTGTGCTGAAGGGCTGGACGACTGCGCCTCCAGAGGAATGGCCTGCAAAAACCAGATCGGCACCTTCATGTGCATCTGTCCTCCCGGCATGACACGCCGCCCCGACGGAGATGGATGCATGGGTGAGAAAGCAGTGTGTGTGTGTTGTTTGTGTGTGTGTGTGTGCGTGTGTGTGTGTGGACTAAGGATTTACACCTAGTGGATGAGAAATCAAGTGAAAAAAAAACGTGTAAAGACCAGAATATTACAGAAACTAATAGTGGCGATGATTTTTGCATGAGCAAACACTCACACTTTCTTCAGAAAATATAAAAATATGGTTTGTTTTTACTGGCATCACACTGAATGTAGTAAATATTGTATTTTGTCGAAGTATATTTTTAACTTTTAATAACTTATAATAATAATAATGTAATATTTTATGCAAAATTAATATAAAAAAACAACAAATAAAATATATAATTTATTTTAGTGATAATTGAATATTTAATGCAATATTATAGTAAATTGGAGTAATGTGACTGTAGTAACTATTGCATTTAGTCAAACTATTTAACATGCATTTTGAATGAAATATTAAATTATTATTATATAACTATTATTAATAATGCATGTTAAAAATGTACCCTAGGAAATAGAAAAAATTCAATAGTTATTACAGTCACATTACTCCAATATATATATATATATACAATAGAGTATTTTATTTTTTGTATAGTAATAATACTACTATGCAATATAAATATAAACTTGGGTGACTGAAGTAACTATTGTATTTTGTCAAACTATTTACTAGGGGAAAAATTTTTACCCTAGTAATTAACATAATATGTTCATTTTTTTAATAACATTTATGTAATAATAATTATTGTTTATTATTTATTTAATAATTTTTGTAATATCCATATAAATTGGAGTATTGTGAATGCAGTGACTTGTATTTTTTAACATGCATTTTAATAACATTTATGTAATAATAATAATAATATTTAAAATTGTATGCAAAATTAACAAAATAATAAGTACAAATAATATTTATATAATAATAATATTATATTTTATGCAATATAAATAAATAAACAATACTAATAATTTTTAATACGTTATATAATTATATAATAAGAAGTAATATTGTGTCCAATATTATGTAATAAAAAACTATAATATTTTTATTTGATTTTACCTAAACCATTTTCTGTAATGTACGCTGGATAGAATTTAAATTTTACAGTAATTTAGTCACTTTTCTGTAGTATGTGCTGATGGTGTTGTTGCATAAGTCGTCTCTCTCTCTCTCTCTCTCTCCTCCTCTGTGTGTGACTCTGGCAGACCTGAACGAGTGCCGCAGCAAGCCGGGAATCTGCAAGAACGGCCGCTGTGTCAACACGGTGGGAAGCTACCGCTGCGAATGTAACGAGGGTTTCGAGTCGAGCTCCACAGGCACCGAGTGCATCGGTAAGAGCCAGCGGCCAATCAGAACACGGCTGACATACAGGCACAAATCGCATGAAACCCAAGCTAAAACCAAATCAAATCCCCAGTCTTCAACCATTTAGTGCACTAATTTCAGTTTTAAATTAGACTGAGATTGCTCATTCTGTCTAACCGGCCTGCTGTGGTTGTCAGATAACAGGAAGGGCTTCTGTTTCACGGAGGTCCTGCAGACGATGTGCCAGAAGTCGTCCACTAACCGAAACACCGTCACTAAGTCGGAGTGCTGCTGTAACGGCGGCCGCGGCTGGGGCTCGCTGTGTGAACTCTGTCCTCTGCCCGGAACCATCCAGTACAAGAAGATGTGTCCGCTCGGACCCGGATACACCACTGACGGCAGAGGTCAGAGATCTCCGCACTTCTGAACGTCTTTACAGAGATTTCACAGAGCAACAGTTGAGAAAATGAAAACAGACGATCACTCTTTATAATAAAATCACTGGTCTGTTGTTCAAAAATAGCTTCTTTTAGACCAATGCAATGATGTGCAAACTCAGTAGATATTTTATATATATTTAAATATTGATATAAAATTATTTAGTATTTTTTAACACATTTATTAATGTATTTATTAAACATCAATGTAGAAAATGTGCTACTTTCCATGTTTGTTTATAATTATGAATATTTACATTAATTAATATTGTAAAATAATTTTATTATAATAATTATTTTTGGACAAATTATACAGTAAGTATAAAATATAGTTAGAAATATATGGAATATATTTTTTTATATGTATAATCATGTTTTTAATAATATTTTAAAATTAATTTATGGATATTTTAAAACATTTATTTATACATTATTTTGTGGTTTTATATACAGAAAATATTAATTATATTTAATTTTGAAATATATTTTAATATGTACATTGATATTTTTAGTAATGCAGTACTTATATATATATATATATATATTTATTCATAATAATAATAATAATATTACAATATTAATATTGGTACTGTTTTTAAATAACAAGTGCTACAGATGTTTTGTTAAAAGTACTTCACTGAAATTCAGGCATTTCGTTTAGATTTAGGAATGCATGTATGGATACCATATCTACTGTATTTTTGCAGACATCAACGAGTGTGAGGTGATGCCTAACCTGTGTAAGAACGGGCAGTGCATCAATAGCGTCGGCTCCTTCCGCTGCCATTGCAACGTGGGTTACACCGATGACTTCACTGGCACTTCCTGTGTTGGTACGTTCTCCTCACTCATCGTTACCCTTATTTAAATCAATAAAGTGCGATACTGTTCTAAAAGCCCATTTTTGATGCAATACTTAATGCTTTTCAATTAGATATGGACGAGTGCTCTCAGTCGCCCAAACCATGTAACTTCCTGTGCAAAAACACTGAAGGCAGTTACCTGTGCTCGTGTCCCAGAGGATACATCCTACAGCCTGATGGGAAGGCCTGCAAAGGTTAGTTCATGATTAATGGTTACATTTTTCCTTGTTGGGATAAGATCTGCTTATAAATCTGGTTGTAGTAATAATCCGTGCCAATGATCAACCCAATGTGTGCTAATTTGAAAAAATTGCTTATTTCATCCCAGACTTGGACGAGTGCTCAACCAAGCAACACAACTGTCAGTTCCTGTGCGTCAACACGATCGGTGGCTTCACCTGTAAATGCCCCTCAGGCTTCACGCAGCACCAGACGGCATGCATAGGTGACTGATATGAACTCAAGCCACCCGCTAACATGCCTAGCCCAGAGTCTAAATAATTGAACAGGTCATTTGGAGCTAAAATTGCCTTCATCTCTTAGACAACAACGAATGCAGCAATCAGCCAAATGTATGCGGCTCGCGCGCCTCCTGCCTCAACACCCCCGGCAGCTTCAACTGTGAGTGTCAGAAGGGCTTCTCTCTGGACACCACGGGAATCAGCTGCGACGGTAGGTTTCCCGTTTTGGGCCCATGTGAAATGATTTTGCATTAAGCGGCAATCGACCTGTTGTGAGCTCCAAGGTTGTTGATCGCTGGTAGATGCTTTTGTTGAAGCCATCTGTTCACATTAGTTCATAATTGTGTTTAACAGCAGAATTTGTGGTGGAAAAACTACTATCCATGATGCTGTCCGGAAAATTCCACCAATCAGAGTTGTGGTTATCAAATCTTGCTTGGAGAGCTCTTTAGCTCCGCCCACTCCCACGAAGCACCACAAATGACGTAATCAAGCCACTTTCAAAATACTTTAATACAGTCAACAACTTTAAATGAATAGTTTTATATTTCACCTTCTTTTTTCAGAATCAGAAATCAGAAATCAGAAAGAGCTTTATTGCCAAGTATGTTTGCACATACAAGGAATTTGTTATAGTGTCACAAGCTTCCAGTACACGGAGACAACAACAACACACAGATAATAAAAGTGAGATGTGAATAAAATACACATGCATTTTACGAAGCTATGAGAATACTTTTTGTACGCGAAGAAAACAAAAATAACAAAGAAACAAAAAAAAACCATGTGGTGCAGCTGACATAGAACAGTGTACGCTGTTTGCATCCAGTGGTTATTCTCCAAAATGGTGTTACGCTGACGCAGAGGAGACGAATTGCTGAATAAAGTCGTTATTTTTGTTTTCTTTGTGTACAAAAAGTATTCTCATAGTTTCGTAAAATTACAGTTGAACCACTGATGGCAGATGGACTATTTTGATAATGTCTTTCATACTTTTCTGGGCCTTGACAGTGTTAATTGTTTGGCAGTCAATGGGACAGTAACAAGCCTCCCGGTTTTCATCCAAAATATATTAAATTGTGTTCCAAAGACGAACAAAGCTTTTACGGGTGTGGAACGACATGGGGGTAAGTGATTAATGACAAAGTTTTCATTTTGGGGTGGAGTAACCCTTTAAGGCCCGATTATACTACTATTTCCGCGTTCTGCTCCGTCTCGCGCACAGCCGTGTCAGCGCAGCTTTTAAAGCATATTCGACACATCGCAGTGCCACCATTGCAATGTTGTTTGCGTGGACACAAAAAAAAACACACTTCTGATGATAAGAATTGCATCACACGGACAAGTCCGCGGATGGCCGAAGTATGCTTTGGGCTTCAGATTGTCATTTGCAATGCTTCATGGAATTGTTTGGTTTGGTTGATGGCTTATAACGCTTTAACGAACCATTTTTCAAAATCCCAATTGGAAAAATTAATGTAAAAAATACTTCTGGATCCAACACTGCTGAGATGCCACCATATATTAGAATCACATGCTAACCTGATTTTGTTTTCTTGGTTTCTTACAGACGTCGATGAATGTGGTGGAAACCACCGGTGCCAGCACGGCTGCCAGAACATGCTGGGAGGATATCGCTGTGGATGCCCGCAAGGTTATGTTCAGCACTACCAGTGGAACCAGTGTGTGGGTAAGCATTTCTACGACGAAGTGTGGTTTTCAGTTGCGCAGTTCTAATTTCTGCATCTTCCTTCCACCTAGATGAGAACGAATGCGCCGGAAATCAAGCCTGTGGGTCTGCGTCTTGCTATAACACTCTGGGCAGCTATAAATGCATGTGCCCGTCAGGTTTCGACTTTGAGCTCTCTGCTGGCGGCTGCCAGGATGTTAATGAATGTGCCTTGAACAATAACCCCTGCAGCTATGGCTGCTCCAACACAGATGGCGGCTACTTGTGCGGATGTCCTGGAGGCTTCTACCGAGCAGGACAAGGGTGAGTATTTAAGGCCCCGATAAACTTCAAGCAAAAACGAAGAACGAACTGATGTGACATCATTTCAAACAAAATCCATCCAAAACTAAGTTCGTTTTGTGAGTTCGAAATGGCTTGCCAAAGCGAACTTTCCAAAAAGGTTAATTCAGATTGCAAAACACCTTCGTACTACCATTGGTCCGTGACGATTACGTCATAGGAGGTGTGCTCTGAGGCTCCGCCTTCTTTCATGCAGAACTCTTCTCTGGGTTCATTTCGTCTGTCGAGTTTCATCTGTCAAAACTGAATACAGTGGAGCCGCTTTATAGTAGCAAATTAAGTTGTGCTTCTGATGAAATGAGACACTGACACTGTTTTTCATGTTTAATAATTCTGCTTGCTTTTAAGCAATATATTGAATAAAGTGCCATGTAAATACACGTGACGTGACTTCACGGGAGTGCTAATTTGTAGAGCTTGTGCAAACATACCCATGTTGCTATGATCAGATTTTTATATAAAAATTCTTGCTGTTTTCTCCCATTTTTTTTGTTTATTTTTTTTACTGAGAGGAAAGTGGGCAGCACATATTTACATATTCATATAAACATTGCTTTCATCAGAGTGGGCGGCGTCGGGATTTCGAACTTCGTTTTACCCCTAAACAAAGAACGAAAAAAAAACTTTGTTTTGAGTATATCGGGGCCTTTAGGCTAGCCTGTTCTTATTTGACCACTGGAGTTCATTTTATGCCACAAGTGTCCATACCTGCTCCTGGAGGACCACTTTCTTTCAAAGGTCAGCTCCAGCTTTCTCCAACGTACCCACCTGGGTGTTTCCTTCACTAGCTAGTTGAAGAGCTAAAGTCTAGGAAAGATTAGACACCCAAATAGTTTGAACATACTGTATATAGCAGGGAGGGCAACTCTAATCTTGGAAAACCACTGTCCTGCAGAGTTTAGCTCAATCCCTAATTAAATGCACCTGAAAAAATCTAACCAAAGGATAACTAAAGGTCTTTAGGAATACTTAAATTACAGGGTTTTTTATTTGGATTGGAGCTAAGATCTGTCAGACAGTGGCCTGAAGTTGGCAATCCCTGCTATAATGCCAAAGTACATCCAAGCGTACTTGCTGAGCATTCAAAGTCATTGGCAAGACTTTCTGTTAGATGTCAGAACATGACCGTGGGATTTACTTCCAGTCAGACAAAACAGCATCAGTGAGTTCCATTACTGATCTTTGTGAGGGGATTAGCTCATAGTTGACTTTCTAAAGTGTTCAGAAGGGGATGTCTTCATACTTTTGCCATGTAGTGTAGAACCATATACTTGCCTGAAACTTCCAAGGCTCTGTCCTAAATTCTACTCATATCCCTTGTCCGAGTTCACGTTTTGGTGACGCACTCCTACATAGATTGTCAAGCAGTAGTCTACTGTGGAGTACCACCAGCATGGGCTCAACAAGGGTGCAAGAACCTTTCTGAATCCTAACATGGGATACTCTATGGTCTTGTGGACTCCATAGACCTATGCAAGCAAAGACAGCAAGTCCACGCTAAGTGCACAATTTGGGGCAAGGCCTAAACCAGGGGTGTCCAATCCTGGTCCTCGAGGGCCACTGTCCTGCAGAGTTTAGCTCCAACCCCAAATATTGTGAACCAAGGTTATAACGGTCTTCAGGATTACTAACTTCCAGGCAAGTACATTGGGACAAGTTGGCGCTAGACTCAGCAGTGGTCTCCAGCCCTGCTCCTGGAGAGCTACCATCCTGCAGAGTTCAGCCACATCCCTAATCAACCACACCTGAACCAGCTAATCAAGGTCTTCAGGGTTACTTGATAATTACAGACAGGTGTGTTGGAGCAGGGTTGGAACTTGAAGTCTGCAGGATGGTATCTCTCCAGGAGCAGGGTTGGAGATCTCTGCAATAGAGGTTGTTGGCCCTCCAGGATCCGGATTTGGATATTCCTGACCTAAGCTGAATAATTACACAAGTGAAAGAAAAGTAATGTTTCACCTTTTTCGTTTCTAGGCACTGCATCACAGGAGTGGGCTTCCAGGGTCAGTTTGGCTCGGAGGGAGTGGATGACGAAGAGTCACTGTCACCGGAGGCCTGCTATGAATGCAAGATCAATGGTGACCTTGGAAAGAAAGGCCGCCATAGGCGTAATGCTGGCGATAATGAGCTCAAGGTACTTTTTGAGTACCGTCCGTCTCTCTGTAGTCGTCATGTTTTCAATATGGCCACACTGCTAACCCTGACCTTAATTCCTAACTCTATAAAGGGTATAACAGGCTTAAGTCAAGATCTATCTGAAGCTTCTTCTAATGTTTCCAACTGTTCTGTCCTGCCCTCAGGAGATGGTGAGTATGGCCAGCATGGATGTTCAGACCTCCATCCCAATGAACCTTAGTCTGGCGCAGCTGCAAAACAAGGAACCCCTACTTGAGTTGCTTCCAGCTCTGGAGCCGCTTGAGCACCACGTGCGCTACGTCATAACGCACGGAAACCAGGGTGAACACTTCCGCATCCTGGAGCGTCGTGACGGGAAGAGTGTTCTGCGGCTGGGCCGAAAGCCGCCCCCTCCAGGTTTGTTCCGCCTGGAGATCGCCAGCTTGCGTATGTTCGGTCCACGCAAACTTCAGCAAATAGAGGACCAGCACGACAGCGACTACTTGCTGGGCGAGATCGGCGACGCACTGCGCATCAAGCTGCACATCCACCTGCACTGAGACTGACCCTTGACCATGCGCCCTTCACTGCAGGGCGTTGGCTCTGAGAGACTGTGTCCATGTATCGCCATGTTTTGTTTGTTCTTATTTGCCGTCCTTTCATGTTTTCATGTCAGCCCCTACCGATTTCTCCAGGTTGGGTGGAATATGTACATATACCACCTTAAATTAGCAGGAGTGCGTTAGCACTAGCATTAGCACCCAATCAGGCAATCAGACATATTAGTCGTAAGGACGATTTAATTTTAATACGGCTTTTACAGTTGTAAACTGTCAAAATTATCATGAAATGACATTTCAGTCTTTAGTGCACATAAAAACGATGCATTATAGATGAAGAAAAATATAATGACCATTCACTCACCTCGATGTCTCAGTGTAAACTGGGGTCAACATTTATTCCAGTCAGTATTTAGAGTTATGTCAAGTATTGTACTATTTTTGAAGAAAATAAGAAAAAAAAAAAGGTGACACAAAGGACTGCAACAATTTTTCAGGTTTAAACAGTCGAGGGTTCAAACAGCTTAAGGTTTTCGACTGAAATATGTCTTTTTTTACATACGATTTTTGGGATTTTCTGGAGTGTTTGCATGAGCTGCCACATCGCTTTACCTCATTTTACACACATAGACAAGAACACACACATATATGATCATCATATATGATGCAGTTAAGACAGGAGTGGTGCTAAATGCTCAATTTGCACTGGGCCTCCTCTGTGTATTTAATCAGGGAAATTTCATTCCAAAAATGGCAACAACTGTCCAAAGGGTTTTTGAATATGCATGTGATGTTGCACAAACTTGGCATTCACATTTGAACCATTTTCTTCTCCATACTTGTGTGCTCTTGTTGGTGTATTTGAAAAAGACGCGCTTTGCAAACAGAGCACATACAATTGGAGAACTGGAAGCCTGCTGGGTAAACCAACCAGAGGCCATTTTTGATTGCAGCTGGAGACGTGCAGTCTCAATGGTACATAAGGATTGTTTGGCAAGCCGTCCTCCAAAACACTCCAGATATGGACATGCAAACACACATTTTCAACTTTCAAGTGTGGGAACATTGACAAACCAACCCTCGTTTCTTAGTTTCTCAGTAATCTTGAGCAAACAAGGTGCTAAGATTCCAATTTACGCTGTTCTACGAACTGATTTGTGGATCGCAAACGTGACATTTTCAAAGGTCTTTTGTGTTTTTATTTTGTGTGTGATTGTCTTTTGTACTGTCTCAATGCTGAAAAATCAATACTATCAAAGCTTGTTAAAAATTTTTATTGTATATTTTAAAGTGAAATGTAGATTTTGTTTGTATTTCTTCTTTTGTATTCTTGAGCGTCCAGACTGCCAAACCAAATATTTACTTGTAAACATTAGATAAATAGCCTTTAAGAACGGTTGACTTTGTTTTTCCTCTTAATACGGACAATTAATGATCACAGCATCCTTTATTTACTGTCACGGAGCACTATGTGACAGACGTCACTGTTTACATGAGCTTGTCCATCGATCATCATAATACTGTAGATTATTTGCCATGACCAGCAACATTGGACTGTTTTCAAAGGCTGTAAACAAAGTAATTTTGGTGCTAGAATGACAAAACTGTTTCTTGAACATCACAGTAACTGCACTGTACGACAGCCTGAGCTATATTTATGCATAACCATTTGTCTAACATTGGAACTTTGTATACTTTCATAACTTTTGTTTTTGTTGATGCCACTACATGTAAAAGAGCGAATGTGCGTGACTGTACTGTATGTCAAAAATCAGCAGCAAACTTGAAATAGTCATCAAGCTAGTGTTGAGTTATGAACTTCAGACCAAAGAAAGTGGACCAGGTCGCTCAGGATGATGCCGATTCCCATAAATCTCTGGGGTGCATTGATTCCGGCGAACTATGAATTTTTTTTAGCCATAAAGATCCATGACGGAGAAACCTGAGCACCCTGTACATGACTAATGAGTAATTCCAAATGCATTGTTTTTATACCATTTTCGATCCATCTGTCAGATCCAAGTGATCCGCACAATGTTTGTGAACATCTGTATGAAACAACGAATGGCAATAAAACAACATTGGTTATATTTTTAAACCTTTTTTGACTCTGTTCTCTGCGTGCAAAGGACATTTTTAGCCACGTTAAAAAGATTTAGGGAGTGTATCCAAGTGGAAATGGCTTATTGATCTCAGAAGGGTGGCTACTTCAGTACACTTCGTTTTCAAGATATTGGAAGCTTTTTAAGTGAATAAGCCCAGTTTTATTTCAGACAAAAAGGAATTAGGAAAATATCCAATCTACTTACAAAACTCACAAAGCAATGCAAGCTCCTCTGTTTCTTGGCACATCAACACTTTGCACATGCGTCCAAATGAGAGCTACAAATTTGAGACGAAACATTAGCAAAAAGGGAACTCCAAATCGGAGTCGGGATATAAAAATAAAGCTTTCAGTCGTTTCTAAACCTCTCTTAGATCACAACAGTTTCAGAGAGCTCAGCAGATTAGCAAACAGACAACACCTTCGAGATATTAGAACATATGGCTTATATACACACATAGTCAAAGGACAGGGAAGAGTCAAACAGCAATAATACAAGGACTGACACTCAGTTCTGAAGTCTTAAAGGGAGTTTTGCTCCAAATCCAGAACATCCTCAGAAATATATAAAGCACAGAGTTTAGAACGGGTCTGTCCGACATCCTAGGACTTTCCAACAATGCTAAAGTTTTCCTTAAAGATGTATTTTGTGGAAAATTACCATGCTAAATAGACAAAAATCATACTGAATAGGCCATAATCAGGGTAGGCAGCTTATTTAATTTTACGCAAATGAAAACAAGGCTGTGGGGGCTTTAATGACTAAGCAGACAAAGTGTAAATTGTTTTCAAAACAATTTCTTATGTAAATTGTCTAATTCAATGCAACAATTAACGTAAAGCAACAATTTAATGGCAGTTTAGTAATTTTTACAGTGTAAATTGTGAAAATCATTTACTGCATTCAATGTAACAATTAACGTAAAGTGACAGTTTTGTGATTTTTACTGTGTAAATTATTTGTTAAAACAATTTGTTGCATTCAATGCAACAATTAAGAGAGTGACAATTTAGCAAAAGTTTAGTGTTTTTTACGGTGTAAACTTAAAACCATTTATTGAATTCAATGCAACAATTAATATAGCAACAGTTTAAAGATTTTTTTTATTTTTATGGTGTAAATTTCGTTAAAACCAATTGTTGCATTCAATTGTTGCATTCAATGCAACAATTAACGTAAAGCGACAATTTAGTGATTTTAATGGTGTCAATTGTTCGTGAAAATCATTTGTTGCATTCAATGCAACAATTAACATAAATCGATAATTTAGTGACTGTTAAGTGAGTTTTATGTTGTACATTTTAAAACCATTTGTTGTATTCAATGCAACAATTAACGTAAAGCAACAATTTAATGACAGTTTAATGATTTTTACAGTGTAAATTTTGTTAAAACCATTTGTTGCATTCTTTGCAACAGTTAATGTAAACCGACAATTTAGCAAAAGTTCAGTGATTAAGATATAAAATGTTTATTGAATGCAACAAATGGTTTTAATTGCAACAATTAACGGTAAGCAACAATTTAATGTCAGGTTAGTGAATTTCATGGTTTAACTTGTTTGTTAAAACCATTTGTTGCATTCAATGCAGCAATTAACGTAATGCGTCAATTTAGCAACAGTTTAGTCATTTTTACAGTATGAAATGTTTGTTTAGATCATTTGTTGCATTCAATGCAACAATTTAGAGGCAGTTTCAAGTTCCTAAGTCAAGTCATCGTCTAGTTTTGTTAATGCAAATTTTAACATTTTCCTTTTTGTTTTTTTTTGTTTTTTTTTTGTAAAGCCATATTTCCAATGTTTCATTAGTTGACCAACTAGTCGATTAACATCAATTTATAGCAATGGTCGACTTCCATTACAGCCTCATTTTCAGCAGCATTAAATTAAGTCATCTACTACGATCCACTGAAAAGTTTCATCATGTCTTTTAGAATTAACTAGGGATGCACGATATATCGGCCACCATATCGGTATCGGCCGATAAATGCTAATTTTTTCTGTTATCGGTATCGGCCCAATAAGAAAATTTGGCCGATATCTTAAAGCCGATAAATAATGCATTATTTCCTTCAGAGACACTTCAGATGCGCGCTGTTCATTTGCAGCCTTTTGTGCAATTGTACGTTGTAATATTGTGTTTATTTGATGTATATCTGATTTATCTCATATAGAATGCGTTTGGTTAAGTTAAAAGAGCGCTTCAGTTTACCAGTGATAAACTCAAACAGCAGTGCACAACATTAATAACTATGATTGGGAATGTTGTGTATATAACATTCTAATGAGAACATTATTATAATAAAACGTTGTGCATTCTTTGGGTTTAGTTGCTGTGTTTCAGCGCGTTGTTATGGGAAGAGCGCATCCACAACAGGATCACACATTCTGACTATAGCATGCAATAACTGCGTCATTTGTCATTTCATATATAAGTTGTAATATTATGTTTATGTTGTATTAATATTAATCTCAGGATGCATTTCCTTGAGTTAAATAAGCTGCCAGCAAAACGCTTCAGTTTACCGTGTTCATTCAGCTCTTCAGCTTCAGCACGCGCAGCTCAACGGCTGCTATTTAAAACAGTGGTATTAATTTGTTACTTTTTCAAAATCATTGATATATTATTAATAACAACAACCACTTGTATTGTTCTCTTATTATTTTCATCAACAGTATGGTTTAGTAATTAAAATCATTTAATTATTGTCCGTGCAGAGGCTATTCCGTTTTATTGATCTATGGCGCATTCATTTTGATTCTTTACACGTGTAATGATGTCCAGTGACTTGTTTGCATTATTTATGCATTATTTTATTTATTTGTAAGACTTTTTTATGACTAAATTTGGTAATGGGAGAGTAAAAATATTTTTAAAACGTACACCGTTCAAACTAGGCTGCTTATGTTGAAGTGTTTGGGATGTGGCTTTTAATGATGAGACCTTTTTTGTAATCAGGCTCTCAAAAAGTATATAACAATTTGGATATAGATTTATCGGCCAACATATCGGTTATCGGCTTTCAAAAAATAAAGGATTATCGGTTATCGGTATCGGCCAAAATTTTCATATCGGTGCATCCCTAGAATTAACATATATATACAGTAATGATGAAGTATGTACAGTAGCCGAAGGGTAGTAACACTTCACAGAGAGCATCGTGTCGGGCACTTTGAACCGTCGACTTTATGTGTATTCATTGTAGACCTTGTAGACCGTCCTGAGGATGTAGCTACAGCAGAAGAATCGGACGACCCTGTTAATTCGGAAAGTAGCGTTCTTTATGTTTACACCCAAAGCACATTTCAAGGTATACATGGCACATGCGTTCCCTGGGAATCGAACCCATGACAGTTTTAGCGAAATTAGCGACAGGCTTGGATTCGGGCCACAGGTTGGGCTAAGGCAGGTGGCGTCTTCCGGTCATGTGACTACACCAGGGCGTAGTCAAACTGGCCCCGCTCAAAGCCATCCTTATGATCGGTCCAAGACGAAGCGGGCATTCGGCTGTAGGGGTCCAGCAAGATCCGGAAGCAACGCACCAACAGGAAAATCAAAAACAGCATCAGGAGACCCACAAACGCGAAGGCCGTCCTTTGCTCGGCATCGCCGCCAAGAGGTGGGCTGCTGGGGACCCCTGCGAACGACGGCCCCGGTGAGAGCAGCTCATAGTCCAACGTGGACACATCGCTCATCCTCCAGGGAGCACGACGACAGAACTTGCAAGCTGTCGTAAGGGTAGATTGGATGGAGAGACTGGTCAGATTGGTGTGGCGACCTCGATGTGGACAAACGAGGCCAAAGTCAACACTTTTGACTGCGTGACGGACACGCAAAGTGACACAAGTGGAGCAATCTGGGTCAAAATGACAGGCCTTTTTATTCCAGACCTGTCAAATCGGATCTGACCCGCAAGTGGCACGGCGCAAGCCGATGGGACATGACACAGCGGGCTGCCACAACGGATAAAAACAGCAAGGACTCGAGTCCCAAGCTCGTTTCTTTTGGCCGCAGGGATGAGGCTAATTGGCTCCAGATGGGACACGGTTTGCAGGTGTTGTCCCCACGTTGGGCGCCAGTTTACGGATCGCCCCACAGCAAGTATCCCATTTCTGGTTGATGCTGAAAAAGTCAGACAGCAAAGATCGGACGCCTAATCCGATCAGATCAATATGCGAATCTGGGAAAGCCGTTCGCTCAAGGGAGTTTGATTAGTGGGCTCCAGTAGGTGTGCATTAGGTTGATGAGTCAGAGATGATCTGTTCCTTCTTGCTTGTGTTCTCTCACACAGAACTGCTTGTAAGGTTGGTGCTATTGATCGAGTAGGGCTAATGTCTGGTAAAGTGTGGATTTCAGGGCCAGGATCAGATGTAGACCGTGCAGTGTGTTTGGCCTCTGGTCTGTTGTACTTCACCCTGTAAACACACAAAATACACGCATTCAGCATTTAATCGGTTTAGTGGCATGACCATGAACTGTTCCTACCTAAAAACCTCCCAATAGAGAGATATTATATTCTTTTCATAAATGGCTTTACTTTATTGAACTGTCTACTGAATGTTAACACAAAATATGTAATATGTATATATAATTTGAAAATGTAAATGTATATTTAGTTTAATAAATGCATTTTAAATGTAATTTTTTTACTAAATGTATTCATGTATTTTTTCTGAGTATTTACAATCTTTTAAGCATTTCTATTTATATATAAATTAATAAGAAAATGAATATAAATTATATTATATTATATATATATATAT